GGAGCCGGCGGAGGTTGAGGGAGCCAGAGCCTTGGCAATGGTGACCAAAGGCAACAGAGGAGACGAAGAGGCCATGGCAACCGAACCAGGTGACATGGAGGCGATAGCCGACGACCCAGGAACCTCAGGAGCAGAGGGCTCAGCAGGAGGTCCAACAGGAACCAAAGTTGAAGGTCCCACAGGAACCAGAGCTTGAGGGCCCGCAGGAACAAGAGCTGGAGGGCCTGCAGGAACCAGAGCTTTAGGGCCAGCAAGAACCATAGCAGGAGGACCAGAATCAAAGGGGTGGGGAAGGTGGGCCCCAGAAACCCCCCAGCGCCGCCAAATCTGAGGAACACCCTGATGAAAAAAGTCCTCTAAGGTCAGCCAGATCGCGCTGCATTTTCTCCAGGATCCCCAGGATAGTGGTCTGATGAGTGCAGCCAGCCTCAGAACAGACACCCAAAAAAATAAAGATAAAAAAATAAAAATTCCATTGTTCCTCTTGGTGCTGGAAAAATAAACAAACAAAAAATCCTCACCTCAGTCTGCTGGGGTTTAAGTAGGTCAGATCCTTCTGTTATGAGTGGCTTGGTTAGGTAAGAACCCCAGACACAGGACTGAGTGAGGTGGAAAAAATATTTAATAAACTGAAAACAAGAGGCTGACGTGGCAGCAAACTAAACACAAAAGTTTGACTTTGGCTTTAAACAAGAACTTGAACATCTAACAGAACACAAACAGTTAACAAGGATCTGGCAAACACTGAAGACACTGAACAGAATATAAAGGGAAAAATAATGAGCTAAAACAAGAAACACCTGGGGAAGATACATGAAGATCAGGTGTGAGTGGYCGGGGCTGGAGCACAGGCAGACAGGAGGAAGAAAACAGATGACAAGACAGAAAACTAGAACAAAACATTAACACAGACACCAACCATAACAGTAAGAAAGGTTTTTATCCCCTCAATCCTGACAGTTCTCCAAGTCCATGCTGATGAAATGTTCCTCCAAAGCATGATGCTATATATTTTTTATATTACATTATATTTTTATATTTTTTCATAAATAACATTTAGAATTGAGGCCCATTAGCTTAGTTGTCATTTCATCTAAAAGCGACAGTTCTTATTCTTGTAAATTTCTGTTTTCATTTTGTTAATATGAGGTACTGAYTGCAGATTAATGAGGATAAAATACAACATCTAAATGACAGGAGCATCAAACTGCAACATAAAACTGCAAAAAGTAAAAGGATGTGGTGTAAGTTTTGCCACCCACTGTACGCAAACGTTTAATATACAAATGCAAAAGGTAAAAGTTGCGTACTGCATGTTAGCTGTGAGGAAATGAACACATAAAGGTAAACCAGGGGATGTGTAGCAGATCGATATAGGGGGGTATTTGGAAATGGATTTTGTTCACCAGTCCGCATTTTATCTATAGCAGCCACAATTTAATTTAGCAGCTCTTTTGTCTCCATTCACATGCTGATCCAATACTTCTTTTTACACCTTTACTATGTTTCGATAACGCTTGCTACATCTATTCCGAATGGGTTTTTTTTCAGGGCATGTTATGAATGATGTGTGTCAAAGACAGGA